GCTGTTGTCGCTCTGTTGATGACGTCAGCGACGCGGTTTAATCGGGCACGCTTTAGTCGAGCGCGGTTTTGTCGTGCCACGTACCTCTCCTACTATCCCCATTTACTTGTACTCATTCCTTGTTCATGTTTATACTTATACCTGTTATCTAGTACCTGTTCGACAAATTAAATAAAAAATAAGTAAGTAAATAAATCAATTGCAGCTGCTAATATCTGGACATAATGAGTGTTCACACACACGCATACACAAACACACACATGTGTGGTTTGAGAGAGTTTATTAATGTTCCCCATCACTCAGCCTCGGAACTGCCACAATAAATCAAGCCGCAAGCAGATTTGTGTAACGATTGCAAGATTTGTTCAACAACTGTAGCGAACAACGGGAGCAAAAATGGTCGTAAAAGAACGGGACGCAACTCATTTGTCTTGCTTAGCGGCAGAAAATTTGGGGTCAAGGGGGGTTGTAAGTCGAGGACTACCTGTAAATGTTTTTTTTTAAAGGAAATCCTGCCCACTGCTTGGTCAAATCAAGGTGTGCAGTTGGTTCCTTTCCTCAAATTTTCAAGCCACAGCATAACCCACCTGTTCTGACCCAGCCTTAGCAGAAGCAAGAAACAGACTCCTGGCCACGAAAAAACCCTCTGTATTTACCTACTGTGAATTAATGACATTCACACACCAAAAAGTCCAGGCAAGAGTCCTTCCAAGGGTTAACTGCAGTAATAGATCTTATCAGTTCCTTGTGATAATTGCCAGGCCTGAAAGGCTGCAAATTAAGTTCTGGCAAGCAGTCTTTGTGGCATGAAACATAATGAGCAAAATCTTCAGAAATACGAACTGTTGTCTCCTACAACCACCACTTCCCTTTCCTTTTACCATATTTTTCGGAGTATAAGACGCACCTTTTTTCCTCAAAAAAGAGGCTGGAAATCTGGGTATGTCTTATACATCGAATACAGCATTTTTTGCCTCCCAAAGCCCCGCCCCCTTCACCAAAATGGCCGTGCATAGCCTTATAAAGGCTTTCAGAGAGCTCCTGGGGGCTGAGGAGGGTAGAAATGAGCAAAAAATGGGCCGGGTTTTTTGCCTCCCCCAGTCCCCAGCAGCACTCTATAAGCCTCCATAAGGCTATGCATACATTTCTTTTGACAAAAAACAAGCCCGTTTTCGCGAAAAATGGGCCGTTTTTCAGAGGTTTGCAGAGTGCAAAAACTTTTTTTTCCCTTTTGGAAAGCTCTTTAACTGATGAGAATTACATTGATCAAGTGCTGTGCCAGCAGAAACAANGGAAAGGAAAGGAAGAGGCATGGGAGGGCATCCAATCTAACCACCGCCTCTCCCAAAATATTGGCCAAGCTGTTCCCTGCCTGACCTTGAAACCACAACAATCCCAGCATAGTGACGAAATCCAGTTTTTCAGCCACCAACCACAACTGGCTTTTTAACAAAAAATCCCGATCAGCCTGTTTGGTGCCTTCCTTCCACACACACAAAAAAACACACACACAGACACCGCCTTCCTTTCCTTTCTCACAACAGGCTGATCTCCGGCTGCCGCTTTCCAGGCGGTGCCACCTACGGACAGGTGCCCAGGTAAACGAAACCCTCGCCCCTGGCTGGCGTGCAGCAGAAACTCTGGCCAAGGGTGGGTCAGTCGGCTGGCAGGTTGATTCCGGAAGGGGTCGCCAGGCAGACTCTACCTGCCTGCTTAAGGACGCCAAGGGGACCGTCGCTCACCTGGGCACGGTCAGGGAAGGTGTTTGCCAAAGCAAAGGTCACGCTTAATGCCCAGGCCTGCTTTCGACGCTAAGTAGAACTCGTCCCTGTACTTCGGCAGAAAGAGAAGCTGTCCAGTTTTGGTGCGTGTAGGACGGTTGTCCTCCTGTCTGTCCACCTCGATGGGGACCAGGAACTTGGGAGGGGCTGTTGAGCCATTCTCCCCTCCCCCCAACACACACCTGTATCAGTTTGCAGGTAGGAAAGGTAACCAGGTGAGCAGGGAGGAAATTCCTGGATCCTTTCCTTGTTTCAGTCCAATGTAGAGAGGAGCGGCTGGGGCAATCCTCTTAAAGAGACAGCGCAGAGTTTTTCCGCTCTGTCCAGGCTAATCCTCGACTTGCGACCACCAAGGGGCCCGGCATGTCGGCTGTTCAGTGAGACGTTTCTGAAGTGGGTTCTTGGCTCCATTTTACAGCCACCGAATCCCTGCAGTTGTTAAGACGGCACGGTCGTTAAGTGAATCTGGCTTCCCCGGTTGACTTGGCTTGGCAGAAGGTTCCGGCCGTCGTAAATAGGGGTCAGTTGCCAAGGGTCTGAATTTCGATCATGGGATCGTGGGGCGCAGGTTGGGGCTTGGAAAAACGGTCGCAAGTCACTTTTTTTTCGGCGACGTTGTAAACTTGGAATGGTCGCTAAGTGAAGGTTGTAAGTCGAGGACGGCCTGAGTCTCACGCCATACAGGGAGTCCCCGATTTATGAGCACAATTGGGGCCAGCATTCCCCTTGCCAAGCAAGGCAGTTGTTATGTGAGGTTTGCCCCATGTTATGACTTTTCTTGCCACAGTCGTTAAATGAGTCGCTGCAGTTGTTAAGTGAATCATGCAGTCGTTAAACGAATCTGGCTCCCCCATTGACTTTGCAGGTCAGAAGGGCGCAACAGGAGATCATATGACCCTGGGGTGCTGCAACCGTCATAAATACGAGTCGCTTGTCAAGCATCTGAGTTTTGATCACTTGATTGTAAGGTTGTAAGTGTGAAAAAATGGTCATAAGTCACTTTTTTTCAGTTGTGTTGTAACTTCAAACGGTCGCTAAATGAACCCAGCACAGGCAGTCCTCAACTTACGACCACAATTGAGCTCCAAATTGATCTCGCTAAGTGAGACATGCATTAAATGAGTTTTGCCCCGTTTGACACCTTTTCTCATCACCGTCATTAAGCGAATCACCACACTTCTTAAATTAGGTAGAGGCAGATGTAGGGTCTGCTACTCGGGAATGGAGGGGGTGGGGGGGTTGGAATGCTCTCAAATAGCTGGCTGAGGAATTCTGGGAGTTGAAGTCCGCATATTTTGAATGCTCTCAAATAGTTGGCTGGGGAATTCTGGGAGTTGAAGTCCGCACATTTTGAATGCTCTCAAATAGCTGGCTGAGGAATTCTGGGAGTTGAAGTCCGCATATTTTGAATGCTCTCAAATAGTTGGCTGGGGAATTCTGGGAGTTGAAGTCCGCACATTTTGAATGCTCTCAAATTGCTGGCTGGTGAATTCTGGGAGTTGAAGTCCGCACATTTTGAATGCTCTCAAATTGCTGGCTGGTGAATTCTGGGAGTTGAAGTCCGCACATTTTGAATGCTCTCAAATTGCTGGCTGGTGAATTCTGGGAGTTGAAGTCCACATATTTTGAATGCTCTCAAACAGCTGGCTGAGGAATTCTGGGAGTTGAAGTCCACATATTTTGAATGCTCTCAAATTGCTGGCTGGGGAATTCTGGGAGTTGAAGTCCACACATTTTGAATGCTCTCGAATAGCTGGCTGGGGAATTCTGGGAGTTGAAGTCTGCATATTTTGAATGCTCTCAAACAGCTGGCTGAGGAATTCTGGGAGTTGAAGTCCACACATTTTGAATGCCCTCAACTAGCTGGCTGGGGAATTCTGGGAGTTGAAGTCCACACATTTTGAATGCTCTCAAATAGCTGGCTGGGGAATTCTGGGAGTTGAAGTCCACACCTCTTCCAACGGCCAAGATTTGGAATCTCTGGTGTAAATCCTCATCCAGTGGTGAAATTCATACATTTGTCCTACCGGTTCTGTGAGCGTGGCTTGGTGGTCAGGTGACCGGGGTGGGTGTGGCTTGGTGGTCATATGACCGAATGGGCGTGGCTGCACAACTGACTCACACACAATGCCAAAGCAGCTGTACTTCACACAAACGGGCCCCTGCAACAAGCAGCAACCTCACAACTAGACACAACTGATTGTTGCACAGCTGATTGCCGGGACTTTCGTTTTACTTCTTAAAGCATTTATTCCTCCCGGTTCGCCCTCATCCCAAGTCTTCTCACGTCCTCCTAAACCGCCTCTCTTCTCCTCCTTCAGGTCTTCTGCTCCGGGGAGAAGATGGCGTGGCTGACCCACTTCCTGGCCTGCGTCTTTGGCACCGGCTCCTGGATGGCGATCAACGGGGTGTGGGTGGAGCTTCCCCTCCTAGTGACTGAATTACCCGAAGGCTGGTACCTCCCTTCCTACCTCACCATCATCATCCAACTAGCCAACATCGGACCTCTCTTTGTCACCCTCATGCACAAATTCAAACCTGGCTTGTTGAAGGAGGTCCCGGTGATTTGCGTGGTGGTCTCCACGGGCATGCTGGCGTGCTTCCTCCTGGCTTTCCTTTGGCACTACACGACGCCCATCGCCGGAGAACCGCACAGCGTGGCCTTCTTCGTCTTGACCTTCTTCCTCTCGCTGGTGGACTGCACCTCCTCCGTCACCTTCCTCCCCTTCATGGCTCACTTCCACCCGCGGTATGTCCCTACCCTCTTCATCGGGGAGGGGCTCAGCGGGTTCATCCCCGCCATCTTCGCCCTGGCCCAGGGGGCCGGCATCGCCACCTGCGTCCAGGTCTCGGGCCCGACTTCCAACGCCAGCCTGGGCAACGCTTCGCAGGCCAACGCGACGGGGACCATGGAAACGCGCTACTCCCCGGCCAACTTCTCCAGCTTGGTCTTCTTCCTCATCCTCTCGGCCATGATGCTCTTCTGCCTGGTGTCCTTCCTCTTCCTCAACCGGCAGCCGAAGTCGTTGGCTCTCTCCACGCAAGTCTTGTGCACCAGCAATATCTCCCTGAACTCCCTCCAGAAGATCCCTACGGGCAAGGAGGAGCCGGCTCACTTGAAGGGAGGCTCAACCTACTCTACGGAGGGAACGATGGAGAACCTCCACGAAGGGGACCCGTGGGCCGGGAAGGTCACCTACACCTGCTCCAAATTAGTCCTCATCTACTTCCTCGTCACTTGGCTGAACGCCCTGACCAATGGCATCCTCCCCTCCGTGCAAAGCTACTCGTGCTTGCCCTACGGCAACCTGGCGTACCATCTGGCGGCCACCTTGAGCTCCATGGCTAACCCTCTCGCCTGCACTGTGGCCACCTTCCTCCCCAATAGGTCTGTATTGCCGGTCAAGTCGATGGTACCAACAGAAGAGACTCTCCATAACACAGGGTGGGACTGAGGAGGGGTCCCTGGTGTCCCTTGAGCTTGGTGGTTTTCTGGCAGCCGTTTCATGAGCGAACTAGGGAACATCCTCAGTGCTAGAAGGGAGGGGGGTTTGCAGAAAGGAGGAGGAGGAGGAGGAGGAGGAGGAGGAGGAGGAGG